AGAAAAGGGATTTCCAACCCTAGTAAGCAAATGAGGATGGGAAAGGCGGGTTGTTCTGGGGAGAGAGTTCTACTCTACGCCAGGTATTTTATAGATGTTATACTCTTGAAAACAGCTTTAAATGAAATAGAAATATATAAAAACTGCACATATTTAATGTATACAATTGGATAAGTTTGGACATATGCAAACACCTGTGAAGCCATCCCCACAATCAAGGTAATATATTCATCACCCCCAAAAGCTTCCTTGTGCCTTTTCGTGGCTGTTGCTGTTACCAACATTTACGTGCACAGCACAGTACTAACTACAGGCAATGTGTGTACATTCGATCCTCACAGTAACTGTGGTAGGCAGATATTTCATTCTCGTTTTACAGATGAGAATCCTGAGGCTTAAAGAGGTTCAAGTCTTTGCCCAGAGCCATATACCAGTTAATAGAATATCTGGGGTTCACATTTTAGTTCAACTGACTTTTTAAATCCAGGCTATTTTAATTACATCATGATGTCTCCCCTATTCTGTCTGCTCTGTGCCTTATTGACTGAGCTGATTCATGAGGAAAAGAACCTCTAATCTCGGGGCCCTCTGAACCACAGGCCGACGCTCTAACCGCTGAGCCAAACTGGCCAGGGCTAATCTCGGTGCCCTTGAAGTGCTCAGGAAGCAGGACTCAGGGGAAGAATTCTGAACCATTGAGGGACACAGTAGGCTCAGCTCACACACTCTAGATCGGGGGTGGGGGGGTGGGGGGGTGGTGGTGGTAGGAATCTAAACTATCTGCCTGGGATCAGCAATCCAGAGCTCCAGGATGGGCCCTGCAGTGACTACCTTGCTGAGTCCCAGGGGCTCTGGAGGATCTAGAAGCTTCTGCATGTTAAGTGATGAATGGGCCTCTTGCCCAAACCCTACCCTGATGGAGTGCCCAGCAGGGACTGACAGGTGTGTTGGAATGAGAGATGGGAAGAAGGCAGGGTTTTGGCAGCAGGTGCGAAAAAGTCCTGAAGTCCTTACACAGACACCCAGCCTGGAGAGTGAGATGCTCCCTTCCTCTCCGCCCAACCCCCACCACCTCTAAGTGATGCCACTGTTCGCTCGTTATCTGCTTTCACCTTTGTCCTAGAGACAAATGGAGAAGGCCCAGTGTAGAGTAGTGGAAAGGGAGCTGGCTTGGAATCCAGGTTCACATGAGCCATGTGAATGCAAAGCATTTTGCCTTTAGGAGTCTCAATTTTCTCACCTGGGAAATGGACAAAATGATACTCACCTCAACAAACTACTGGGAACATCAAATAAGGCAATGGATGCAAAGGCCTCTAACACAATGCCTGGCACACAGTAAATGTTCAATAAATATTTTGTAGATGTATGACTTGATGCTCAACAAATGTTAATCACTCCAGACTTCTATGGTTGGCACTGCTCTTACAACTTAGGAACATGAGTTGGGGTCCTCTTAGGCAAGTCTCAGGCATGTCACTGAATTACAGCGAAACGATGCAGCTCATTGTGTGTCTCTCTCCTATTTAAAGGCAAGAGGAGACACTAGCCTAAGGCCCCCTGCTGCTGCCACTAAGCTAATAACATCACCAAGAAAAGAGACTCAGTACAAGAATGGGGGGGGGGGGGTGGAGCTCTCCTGCTTGTCTATCACAGTTTTTGAGGCTAAATAGACCTTAGTTCTGTTTCTGAGCCTCTGGACTGATGCAGAAAAAACTGGCATTGTTTATGAAGTGTTGTGTGAGGGCAAGGTAGAGGCCCAGCATGTCCCTCCCCTCTCCACCCTTCCTTTTTGTAGAGTGCTCTCTCTCTCTCTCTCCCCCCTCTCTTTCTCTCTCTTTCCCTCTCTCTCTCCCCAGAACACAGGTTGGTAGCAGGTTCTATAGTTCTACCCGCCTGTGTCTCTATCCTGAGGAGGAAGTGGGCAGGCAAGATGAGAGGCTAGAGTGCCCCCTGCTGGGTCTGGGTGGGCGAGCAGCATCTGGCTGGTTCACCTTCTGGATTGGTGCTGTCCTCCATCTCAGTGCTGAAATTTTCCCCTTCTAACTTGAGACCATTGGTATAATCTGGTCCAAAAAAACTAGAGGGTTGCTGAGCAGGCCAAGGTCACAGGGAGGTCCACTGGAAACTCTTCCTGTCTTGGTCAGACTTTTTCTCTCTGCTCTTCCAATGTGGAGAAGCAGACGGTACTATTGCAAAAATATCCTACAGTTAGCTTTATAGTCATGCATTCTCTCCTCTAAAGCAGCGATTTTCACCTTTTTCATCTCATGGCACACCTAAACTAATTACAAAAGTCTGAAGCACACCAAATATATATATGATTTTGCCGATTTGACAAAAAAATTAGTATAGTTTTTATTCATTCACACTGGACAGCTATTGTATTGGTTACCATCCTTTTATTTGCAATCTAAGGGGAAAGAGGTCAGTGCCCCAGACTAAATAGTCAGGTATTGCATGTTTTAAAAATTCTTGCAGCACAGCAGTTGAAAATCTCTGCTCTAAAGGAATGCTAAATGTTAGTGGCATCCATATGCTGTAACTTAGAGACATTTACTGGCACCTGTTTAGCATTAAAAGATCCTGTTCCTACTGTACATTCCATTCTCTGACATCAGTCATGTAAGCTCCTGCCTCATGTCATTGCAGAGTTATAGACCAGAAGGTGATGCCACAGAGCACCCAGCATCCCCCTAGAGAAGAGTTCCTCACATTTCCTCCCTGACAGATGTTTATTCAGACTCTGCTTGCATACCTCCGGTGAGGGGGAACTTGCTGTTTCCACGGGAGCCCATCCAGTGATCGGCAATTCTATTCACTAGAAGATTTTCCTCATTTTTTTTAGCTGAAATGTGTCTTACTGAGAACTCCTCCCTGGATTTGCCTTTTACTTTTGACAACACAGAAAAGGTTTGCTTCTTTTGGGCAAAAAGAATGTCCAAGATATCCTTTTAACTTTTACAGATGGTGATCTTGCTTTCCTAGCTCCACTCCCTCTTATTTTTTTTTATCTCAGGGACAAACAACCCCAGTCTCCTGCTCCGTTTCTAATAGGAAGTGATCTGCAGACCATTTGCCGTCCTGGTCACGTCACCAACAGCGTTGCTATCACACTGGGCACCCTTTCTGGCATTTCCCACACCTGAACTCGTCAAAGCTACAGAACTGCCACAATGAGGTAGACATTACTAACACCATCCTATGGGGAGAAGACTAAGATTCAGAAAGGTTAACTAACTTGCCCAAGATCACACAGACATTGAGAGAGAGAACCAGGGGCAGGATACAGAATCAAAACCCAGAGATGCCTGGCTCCAAGCTTTTGCTTATACACGATTAGCATATCCGCTGTTTGTGAGCCCCGTGATCTAATTAATCAAAGCAGTTTTATAAAAAGTGGGGCCCAAGTCTAGTCACAGCATATAAAAGCAGTCTGCCCAGGGGAATAGATGTGGACTATCATCTCTCTTATTGTATGCAATCTGCCTCTATTTATGCTGTCTCGGGAGAAGCTATCCATTCCGAAATGCCCGCCACGCTGTTGGCTCATGTGGTACTGGTTGCAGTCAGCAAAATCCCCAGGACTCTGACTTGGGGACTGCTGAGGGTCAAGTCTTATCTTGGCTACAGAGTCCTTGACAACAAAGCGAGGCTGTCTGGTTGGCTCTCGAAGGAGAGGGAGACCTACAGGGAAAGGTGCCAAGAACACTCAGAGGAACAGAAGAGCTGCATAAACCACAAACCACTTTATTTGTGTTCCTCTGGGCAACGAGAACCCAGGGGAGAAGCTGTATACACAACACAACATTTGCAGCCAGCTGACATATGGTTCTTTGTTAAAATTTCTGAAAACCAATAAGCAAAAGGGGAATAAGCTTTGCTCTTGATTTTTTGCAACAAACTTAGAAAATCTTCCACCTAGAGCAAAAAAGTGCTTAACTGGAGCTTTGTGTTAAAGGCCCTATCTCCCTTGAGCCTCCCCTCCCCTCCCTATCTCCTAATCCCCATTTCCGGGAGGTCATTTTAATTAGCAGGCTGTCTGGTGACTCAGCCCGCTGCTTCACAGACAGGGAGGGAGCAGACTCTCCTGGACCCATTCATCATACAAAGGCACTTGACTCTTTAGAAAAATGCACAATGTTAAGCTTGCCCCACCTTGGGAATTGCTACGCTGTTGTTTTATTTTATCATCCCTACCTGCCTCGGAGTGCGTCTTTTTGTCTTTTGTGTCTCCCTTACCCGTCCATCAGCCTCCCCCTGTGTCAGGCTATCAATGCCCACCTCTTCAGTGGCCTGGTTGGATCAGTGACACCAGGATCTGGAGAACGAGTGACCAACACTTTTTGCCATTGGAGCTAAATTTTCCGTTAAACCACCCAGGTCATTGGGAACTAGCTCTCAGAGCAGTGTTCTGACATTGCATGCTGGGGCCTGGGGGAGTCAGGAAGCATGCAACTCATAGAAGAAGTGACCGAATGTCTAAGACCACTGGGATTTCAAAAATCCTGTCCCGTTGTTCCCAGCAGTACATGTGTCTTTGGGGTGTATGTGTAGTTGGTGTTTGGGGTCAGTAGATACAGACACAGCTTTTCTAACACTGTGAACAAGCAGAGCTATTGTAAAAGGTAACCATGGGCAGTAACCGCGCCTTGAGCAGGGAAGGGGAGGGAAGCACTGGCCTGCGAGGTGTGTGCAGCCTCTCAGAAGGACGCGCAGCTTCTCCCCTTCCTGGAGGAGGCGGTAGAAGGGGCATCTGTGCTCGCCTGGTTTGCACCTCCTGTTTTGTTCCTGAGCTATAAGCCGAAGCCTTACAATTGATTTTCCATTGGTAAAAGGGAAAATCGATAGAATTTCTTCTCATTTTCCCCCCTTTCCTTTCACTAGCGTATTTCTTAGCGCACAGCCCTTATCTTGGAAGCCAGAAGGGTGATCCATTCCACGCCCCAGCAGCAAGTGCATGCTCCTGCCTCCACAAGACCTCCCTGGACTTCGTGTCCTTAAAAAAAGTCTGAAGGATCTTTGTGGTTCACTGAGCTCTTCTTGTCCCCTTTGCCGACGGGGTGGTTGCTGGCCGGGCCCCGCAGGAGTGGGTACTTGTAGGGAGGGGGTTTTTCTTTCCTGCAAGGTGGGAGATAGCAGAAAGAGAGGAGAAAGACAGCACATATGCATGCTGTCCTGAAACCATTTGTGCATGTCTATCTCCCCCACTGGACTGTGACCTCCTAGGAATAGTGGCCATGTCTCGTCCTGGGAACCCACCCCAGGGCCTGGTTCAAGCAAGCATGGTGGTTCAATGACTGGTGGATGGATGGATGGATGGATGGATGGATGGATGATACATTGTATCATTCTGGAAACCAATCAGTCCTACAGCTCAACTCCTCTATGTTTCCACCTTGATTCTACCTCTTTCTATCCATTCATGATGAGATGGCAATGGGCACATAGAAGAGCTATGGCTTGAGAGAGCCTAGGACCTCATTCCCTTCACAACCATCTGGGCTCTAGGGTCCTCCTTATATTCCTTAGTGCAGCCTGATTATGGCACCTCATAATTGGTTTGTCTCCCCCACAAGCTTGGGGCTCTCAGAAGTCAGAGATGTGTCTGGTTCACTGTCTCAGCAGCCAGCACTCCATGCAATTCCCTTAACACTGCTCTTCAGTAACTGTCCACTGTCTTGTTTGCTCACACACGGGACTATGAGCTCCTTGTGGGCAGGGACCAAGTCTCATCCATTTTTGCACTTTCCTTCATACAGGGCCTTATGTTGAAACTGATAAGTTGATGTGCCATTCTTTCATGTTTTGGGCTAAGATTTATTCGCAGTGGTAAGAGTGGGCTTTAGAGCCAGGAAGAACTCAACTGAATTCCCAGGTCTGCTACATGCAAGAGGTGTGACCTCAGGCCAGTGATTTAACTTCTCTGAACTTCATTTGTAAAATGGGGATAAAATATTCGTGACTTCATATAAAATGATATGAGTAAATGTACCTAGTGTCATTCCTTGTTAACTGTAGCTTACAGAGGCAGGGTGCTAGGTGCTAAATATGGTCCCAGAGGTGACAAAAATGAACCAGACATTGATGCTGTTCTCAGGCCATGAGTTTAGTAGAGGAGACAGTTGCACAAAATAACCACACAGAACAGTGAAGAACTACAATGCACGGCAGAGAGTGGTCAGTGCCATGAATGTGGGAAGCTCTTGGGCTATCTGAATTAGGATCGAAGAGGTGATTTCTTGTAGCCCCCCACCCCGATGCTTTGACCTTGGGATGACGATTTTCCTTCATTGTTGATGACTCAGGAGTAAGGTGAAGACAAGAGGGGCAGCACACGGTAGGGACACTTTGTTTCAACACGCCGCCCCCACCAGGAAGCCCCGCCGTCAGGAAGTCTACACTCACTGACGCATCTCGCTAAATGTGGCAGACTGTCCAGATGGGTGAGACACGGCCCGACCTGAGTGCCCTCGACAGCCAGAGCACGTGCTTGGAATGTTGCTCACAGGCAAGGTGATCTTGAAAAGGCCCTTTCCTGTCTCTGAGCCTCTTGTTCTTCATTTTTAAAATAATGAGAAGAGCCCATGTCCTTTCTGCCTCAAAGGCTCTGGTCTATGGGAGCTGGGGGCAGAGCTTTGTGGGTTACAAGACTGTGCAGATGTCACTGAGGGGTGTGGTTCTACACACCCAAGGGGGTATGGGATAGGAGGGTGTGTTTTTATGTTGGTGGAAGTGTGGTCACAGGTGGAGTAGCCTAGGTAGATGGCGGCCTTGGAGAAGGTGTGCAGTGGCCAGGGAGGGGGTGAGCATTCAGAATGACCGGCGGGGTCATTACAGAGGCAAAGAGCCTCTGCAGCAAACTATGGGGCCGAGAGGGAGAAAGGCCCTGGACGGCCACCACCTGTCCTTCCAGCCCTGCAGAGGCTGCGTCCCTTCCTGCAATGCCCTTGGCCACCTCCCCGGACTCACCTCCGCTGCAAAACCGACTTCCCAGACAGTAAGCCTCTCTCGAGGCTTCTGCGGCCTTTGTACCTCACCCCTCAGCACACCATTTTCTAGGTGGTTCTTTGCCCGTCTGCTTCTCTCATGAGCCTGTGAGCTTGATGCCTTTGATTTTTCTCTCTAACCCTGAGCCAAGCACAGGCCTGGCATGGAGCAGGTGCTTGAGCAGGGTTTGATGAACAGGAGTGAACTTTCAGTGTTATCTGTACCATCCCTGTTGCTCCAAACACCCTGGCCTGCTACTGCCTTAGAAAGCTTCTTTCTTGGTCCTGCTTCCCCCCTTCCTCACCCTATCACCCAACACAGAACACCCTCTCTCCCCTTCCTATGCCCTCCATTTGAATTCTCCACATCCTTTACAACCAAGTTCAGCCCTGGCCGGTTTGGCTCAGCGGTTAGAGCGTCCGCCTGCGGTCTGGAGAGACCCGGGTTTGGTTCCTGCTAAGGGCATGTACCTCAGTTGCAGTTTGTCCCTGGCCCTGGTTGGGTTGTGTGGGTGGCAGCCACTCGATGTGTCCCTTTCACGTCGATGTTTCTCTCTCTCTCTCTCCCTCCCACTCTATCTGAAAAAAAATATCGAAAAATGTCCTTGGGTGAGGAAAAAAACAAAAACAAAAACCAAGTTCAAACCCCTCTTCCTCCCTGAAGTCTTTGTGGGATACTCTTGGCACCAGATGGTGTGGGGGGTCATTTCCACTTGGCCCTCACTTCTTTCCTGTAACACGAAGGGGTTAGGGTAGATGATTCGGAGGGGCTCCTTCAGCGCTATCGCTTTATGACTCATATGTTCAGCGCTTATGTAGGACGCGCTCCACACAAGCGCCTGGACTGCGCACGGAGAACACAGGAGTGACTGACAGCTCCTCCAGGAGCACCCTGTCCAGTGGAGAAGCCAGACGCGCAAATGCCACGACAACACACGGCAGGACACACCGGGCCACGGGTGTGTGCACAACAGTGAGGAACCCAGCAGAGAGGAAGCGGTTCTGTCTCAGGTGGGGAACAAAAACAGAGCTGTGAGACTTGGACTGGGCTTTGAAGGATAGGTAGGAGTTCACTATCCAGTGTCATGGAGAACATTCCAGGAAGAGGGCAAAGGGTGAACAAAGACATGGAGGGAGGCATGAGCTAGCGGGCTTGTTCACACTGAAGGGCTGGCGTGCAGAGGTGGCAAGAAGTCGGGGTGGAGAGGGTGCTCACAAGGGGCAAGGGTGTGCTCGAGGCTAGACAAGAAGTTTTAAATGTGGCCAGGGCTTTGAGTGAGCAATAGAAGAATTGAAACATTACCATGAAGGTAGCAGCGGGTCATGGCAGGCGACTCCACTTCTGAGAGAGGATGTACTCTGACACTTAACTGAGCACTCTGACACTCTTCCATATTGTTTGTTGTCTTTGCCTGTGTGCATGCCTTTCCCCTCTGTAAGTGTGAGCTCCTCGTGGGCAGGGCTTCTCTGTGTCCCTGCATCCAGTGCAGGGCCCAGCACATGGCAGCCGTTGTGTGTTGAGTGGCTGATGACCCCCACACACACATGCATACATCAAAACCCCGCCATGGAGCCAGCCTTTCAGCCTGTCGCTGGGCCTGAGCCCACCTCCCACGCGGAGGCCAGCCCACCCACCACTCACAGTCTGTCTCCTCACAGAGGCTCACCTGGCCTGGTCAGTTTTCCTGTCTAATTTTCACTGTCTGAATGATAAACGTGGAGCTTTAGCCCTGTGACTGGCACTGCGGTCCAGTTAAGTCATCCACGCCGTGTCCCTGAGCCTGGGCTCTTAGGCCCACGCTGCTGGCCCTTCCTGGGTCCTTTCTGGGGGGTGGCCTGGCACCGTGGATGCTGACAGGCCCCCGCCAGCACAGCGGTGGAAACTGGCATATTATAATTATCCATAGAGATGAGAGAAAACAAAAATTAATCTTGAGTCAAAACATGTAATTTCCCTTTAAAACCAGAACTGCTCTTTCACTTATGCTATTTGATGCTTGGGTGGAAAATAATACAAGAAAAGGGGAATAGTCAAATCCCAATCAGAGCCTTGTCTCCTCCTGGGAATTCATTTTTAAAGAGTTTCTGACCAACTGAGAGTTAAGTGTTATTCACAGTTTGAGGAGGACGTGGTGTAGGGTGGAGAGGAGTTAATCTTGTTTTTCTTAATGTAAGGGTGGCTGCAGCCTTGAGTCCTCAAGGCTGTGAACTTGGAGGAATGAGCTCTCCCACTGTTTTCTAAAGAGGGCTCTCCAAACCTCAGGGCAAGGGGCTTCCATGAACAGGTGAAATCAGGGTGCCGAGAACTCCCCTGCATCCTATAGACCAAGTTTCAGGGTCCCACCCCTCACGTCAAAGAATTCTTCACTAACTAATGCTGAGAACACCAGGCTCGGGGCCTCAGGGCTCAGCCTCTAGTCTTGCATCTGCCCAGCCCCCTCTGCTCCCTGGACCTCGACTTCCTCATCTGTATCATGAGGGGGGGTCCCACATATTGCTAAAGTCCCCGAAGACCAGCCCCCATCATTGGCCTGGGGCTGTGACAATGCAACATGCAAGAAAATGATGGTAAAGGATGGAGGTAATTTCATTCAGGCTGACAGAGGACCTGGAAGACACAACCCCAGATTAACTTGCAAATAAGATTCTAAGAATTCTTTTGAGTTTTATAAAGCTTTAAAATTTTAAGAACTTGAACCAATCAAGAAATCTTCTAAGAAGGAACTGAGTACTTTTCTCTAGAGGTGAGCCCCTCAAAGGCAGGGTCAGGCCTTAATCAGTTATACATTCAGCTTCATCCTTTCCCCAGGGCCCTTGAATAAAGTGTTGTTTTCCTAGGTGGATGAAAGAAAGAGGGAAGGAGAGGGGAGAGGGAGAGGGGAAGGAAGGAAGGAAGGAAGGAAGGAAGGAAGGAAGGAAGGAAGGAAGGAAGGAAGGAAGGAAGGGAGGGAGGAAGAGAGAGAGAGAGAGAGAGAGAGAGAGAGAGAGAGAAAGAGAGTAAGAAAGAGAGAAAGAAAACGGGAATGCACCTCGGTGCAGTCTAGGCACTGTGGGAGCACGGAGAAGAAATAAATGTGATCCTCCCCCAGGATGAGGGGCACAGAGAGCCCGCGTGGCTGTGAACAGTCTGAGACAGACTATGAGTCAGAGCACAGTGTCACGCAGCTGGGCTCAGGGATGGTGACTCACAGCATGGTGCACTGGGGGCCCGAGAGATCATCCAGCCCAACCAGAGAATTCCAGGGTCTTGCCCTAGGCCGCGATGAGCCTGTTGGATCTGGGACTGCAATCCAGAAACCAGAGGGGATGGAAACATTTATTGAGCACCATTGGCTGCTAGGCACTGTGCCAAGCGTGTCATCAATCTTTAAAACCACCTTTAGAGGTTGTTGCTATTACCCTAACTTCATAGATTAGCAGAGAAAAGTTTCAAGAGGCCAAGACCCCATAGGTAGCATGAGCCTGAGAAAGAATTTGAACTTAGCTGGACTTCAATCCAGCTTTGGAATCATAAAAGCCTAGGGCAGTTCTCACCATTCTGAGCTCTCTTTAGTAATACGGAGAATATGATATGTACAAGGAATAAATAAATAAGACCAGGTACAACAATTACTTCACTCAATAAGAAAAGTGATAAATATAGTTTTTTGTTAATAATAAGGTAAAGGAGAGGAAGGTGCATCAGGGAGGGAGGTGCAAGGGCCCTGAGGCAGCAAAGCACACGGTGAAGGTCTTGGGCAAGGGTAGTGAGAAGACTGGTCTGGCAGGAGCAGTAAGTTAGACACCTTCACGTCCCTGGGCTGGACCACTAGGGAAGTAGGAAATGAAGCCAAGAAGCAGGGCAGGGTCAGCACAGCCAGATGCCCAAATGCCCTTACCTCTAGCAGGTGTGGGAATGCCCAGAGCTTTGTGCTCTGGTCCAGCCCTCAGGAAGGATACTCATCTCTTGACCTTCCCTCCTAACTGGCCCAAGAAGTTGCCCCAGCAGAGCAGCTGAGATGAAACTTCTCAGGGATGTGTCTTCTCCAGCCCTGAGCCTTTGTGTGTGGAGGGGCGGGGACCACCATGCGCTGAGGGGACATGCATGCAGGGCACTGTGCAGGGTGCTGTAACACCCATCTCATGATAATCTTCCAGCTCAGTGCTGCTGTCCCACTGTGTGGAGGACGGAATGGAAGGATCGGAGACCTTATGAGCTTAGATGACATAGGGTCTCTGAGGGTGAGCTATCAGATGACGCAGCATATGGTACCCCCAGACCAACTTAGAGTAACGACTGCACTCAGCTCCCAGAAACCCCCATCCCTGTAGACTCCCGTGAAATGCGACCACCCCTCCCTGTCTGATCCACGTCGATCCTGTACGCTCAGGAGATGCTCTGCGAAGCTCTTCTGCCCCGTGCACTCTCTGTAGCGGGGCCGGGGTTTCTTTCCTCCGCCACAGACGGGAGTGGGGGCCGGAGAGAGGCTGAGGGAAGTTGTCCCTGAACATGAAGCCCGTGGAGCAGGACTCCAGCCCACACTGTTCTGCTCGCCACTTACCTCAGCCTCGGCATGGGGATCGCCAGTTTCTCAACCATGGGGTCCAGCCGGTAATAATCCAGAAACGTTCTGGCCACGTTCTGCCCCAGCTTCATATCTGCAAGTGGGGCGTTAAGGAGCAACGTGGGAAAGAGACTGAGACAGCGTGGAGAGAGGACTCGTATGAGAAGCGGTACCGGTAATAAACACAGCCCCACCTCTCCCTGTTCACGGCTTTTTGTTTGGACCATCTTTTTAATCTTCCCAAAAGCTTAAGTGGTAGATACTATCATTTCCCTCATTTAACAGATGAGGAAACAGGGTACAGAGGTTATAATCCGCCCAGGGCCACAGAACCGGGAAGGAGAGGAGCCAGGGTATGGGTCTAGGTAGTCTCACCCCAAAGACCGTGTTCATAGCTTTTAGAATATACTGCATCCCTTTGGGAACCGCTGGGCTTCTGGGTCTGGCTTCAGGTCTCAGGGTGGAGGCTGATAAGCGAGACCCAAGAGCAAGACACCCTTTGCTGTATGTAGAGCAGGGCCTGCCTGACTCTCGGGGATCAGTCATCTGCTTCAGTAATCCCAGGGACAATGGCAACACCCTCTCATCCTAAATAGTGTCCCCCTTCCACCTTGAAATCTACCAATAATGAATCTTTGGGGTAAGGCTTCATGATCTGTTAGAATACAAACTCCCCAGGGACCACAGTGACCATTGACACTTTAGTATAAATCAGTACAACAATCATCTCTTCAACTACACAGAGTATCTGCTCTGAGCATTATATCTCATGGCTCTGGACCTTTTCATGAGCTATTGCCTCTTTCCAAAGTCTCCCCCACCTTCCCTTGGCTAATTTATACTTATCAGGTCTCCAATTAGCAGATAACTTTTTAGTACAGCCTTCCATGAACTTCTCTCCCCTCGCCCCACATTTCCATGGCTTCTGAACTGACCTCACTAAAGCACTTACTACTTCTCATACCCCTCAGGGCCGAACACCCAAACTGTCACCAATTCTTCTCCATGAGACCTCCCATCTCTTGAGTTTGTTCACTTGTCTCAGGTCCCTTACTACCCTCCTAGACAAGGCCAGTACCGTCTTCCCCTGGCTTACTGTCATCCTGTCCTGACGGGACTCCGTGCCACAGGACTGCCTACCTCTACCCATTGTCTACAGTATAGCCAGGAGAGTGGTCCTAGAACACAGGCGTGACCGTGTCACCCAACCGAGTAAAACTCTTAGTGGCTCCCAGTTGCCTATAAATTTAAAAATTTGGAACCTGATTTACAGGGTCCTTCATAGTTGGCTCCCTGATTATTTCTCCGCTCATGCTTGCTACCTGCCCCTTCTAACCCCATCCTTGAAGACAAGGATACTGAACTCGTCCCTCCAGGTCTTTGCCTACACCGTTCCATCTCCCCATGCCTCCCTCCTGCCTTCTCGGCCCTCAGACAGCTCCGTGTTGTTTTCACTTCACGGGAGAAGGCTCGGCCACCATGCCATCCAGGGCCTTGGAGCTGGACTAGCCTTTGCAGAACAGCCGAGTGAGTTCCCTCCTCCTTCTTCCAAAAGTCCCCAAGTTGGGGTTGGGTAGGACCCAGGACATAAAAACTAGCATTTTGGAGCACCTGGCTTGTGCCCGGCACTGCACTGGGTACCTTGTTTACACATGCATTTCGGTCATCGAACAGCCCAGTGGGGGAAGCGTTTTCTGGGAGGTCAAGGAACTCATCCAAGGCCACACATCCAGCCATGCAGAGTGAGGACTAAAATCAGGAACGTCTGACTGCAGAACCGTGAGCTTTCCAGAACCCTGGGCTGCTTCCCAGCTTGGAGGCACCTTTCCTGTCAAGGGCTGAGTCATCCCAGGCCAGCGCCTGGCGGGAGAAGGAAAAACACCAGATGAGCTGTTTATGACGTGAGCTTTGCCGCAGGCTCGCTGTGCTCTGGGGCTGCCACCTGCTTTCTTCCTCTGGATCTGACCGACCTTCTCTGTCCCCTTCTTTAAAAAGTCCACAAGGTGGCACTGGGCATGGCCTCTCCGACCAGCAGACCTGCAGAGGCAGCTGGCTGCTTAAACCCAGCCAGGTCTCGTCAGCTGGAGACCAAATCACGACTGTGTGCTGCCAGGGAGAGCTCAGGGGTCCGGGGAGAGGAGAGGCCGCGTGGACTGGGCTGCAGCGGTGCAGCAGACGGTCGGAGTCAGGCGTGTCGAGCCCACCGCCCTGCGCTGTGCACGGCAGGCTGCGTTTTCCAGAGACGTCTGAGGCAGCAGCTCCGTCTCACGTGCCGTTCCCTGCTATGACCTTGACACTCTTTCCACTGAGAGGTGTGGTCCCTGTTCCCTCTCCTGGAATCTGGATGGGCTTGTGACTCACTTGTAACCAAAACAAATGGCAGAAACGACACTGTGGGACAGCTGAGGCAAGGTCAGCAAAGGTGATGTGGCTTGCCCCTTGCTTACTGGAATATGTCAGCTGGGGTCCGGAGGCCATCATGCTCCATAGAGGTGCTGCAGGGAGAGGCCCTGGGACCACATGGAGAGACTGTGACAGAGAGTCCCAGCCGTCCATGGCTCCTCCAGAACTCTGTTCTCCCAGCTCCAAGCATTGTCTAACTGCAATTCCATCGTGGACTCCAAGCTAGAACCACTCGGCTGAGCCCTTCCCAAATTTCTGACCCACAGACAATGAGAGAGAATAGCTCTGGTCTCAAACACCAAGCCTGGGGGAGATGTGTCATGTCGCGATAGGAAACTAGAGCACTGTGGGGCCCTACGCAAGCCGGTCAATCTCCCGAGCCTCAGTTTCCTCATCTGTAAAGGTGAACAGTGATGCCTGCCTCATGGGCTGTCATGATGATGTGTGTGACCGACCAGCAAATGGGTGTTGACTGAATAAATAAGTGGATGGGGAAGAAGGAAGCCTGACCCCTCCTCCCCAGTCTGCTGCGATAGACCTGAAGCTACACAGGAAGACATCTGTGTCCATCAGTGCTTGTGGACTCTACACGGGAAAGGAGCTGGGCTGTCCCAGTAGAACCACTGTGAGGCACCGATCATTTTAGATAAGCTCTGTTTAAAAGACTGTTTAATTTATTCATTTTATTTAATTAATTAACTAATTATTTTTTAAATCCTCACGCAAGCATATTTTTCCATTTATTTTCAGATAGAGTGAAAGGGAGAGAGAGAGAGAGACGTCCATCTGAGAAAGACACATCCATTGGTTGCCTCCTGCATGACCCCAACCAGGACTGGGAACCAAACTGCAACCGAGGTACGTGCCCTTGACTGGAATTGAACCCGCGATTCTTTGGTCTGCGGGCTGACGCTCTAACCACTGAGCCAAACTGGCCAGGGCTAAAGGGCTGTGATAAAGGTGGGAGTTGTCTGGGACACCCTCTTTCCCTCTCCCTCTCCAACCTCATGACGTGGTCCTCAGTCCGAGAGTCTCCCTCCAGACCACTCGCGGCAATGGCCTGGCAGAGTCAGGAGAGGGCATGAGGGTGGGAGGTGGGGAGAGTGTGACTGAACACTTGCACTTGAAACAAGCTGTCTTTCAACAGAGATTCACGATCCAGGCAAAGAAAAGTCAGTAACCCGTTTGGCTGGAACCCTTTCAATATATTGCAGAATTAAGAGAGGAAAAAAAATGGGGTGAAAACTCCCAACTCTTCACTGCCAGCACAAACCTCAAGGGGGCCTGTGCACTAGAAATGTCAGCTTCCCGGGTTCTCCTGCAGCGCACTGACTGGTGTTTGCAGACGGCAGGTGGGATGGGGACCCTGGAGTCAGTGAGGCCGGAGGGCTGTGCCGGCTCGTCTGGAGCTCAGACCGGTTCGGTGACTTCCACCCGGACTGGATTGGAGGGTGGGCGTCAGGAGCCTCAGCCCCCTGCTTCATGGGACCCTTTAATAGGTACTGAGGGCTGAGGGTTTGGGCATTTACTGCTCATTCCCATTCATTCATTCCCCCGTGTATACGGCTGCAGTGACAGGGCCTGGGGTAGGGAAAGGAGACGTAGACACAGTTCACATCCAGAGGCTGCAGCACTGCCGCCTTCACTCTGTGCCTGACCCTCCCCACAGCCTCCAAGGTCAAAGCAGGCTCCTACCCATATTTTACAGAAAGAAACTGGAAAAAAGGAGGGTTGGCATGATTAACCAGAATGGCGTGGCTTGAGAGCCACGGAGGCTAGGTCTAAACCAGGGCACCTTTGAATGCCTCTCTTGAGTGTGATTGGAAATTCAAACACTGAATTCTGTGGACATATAGAAGGAGATTTAATTCCAAACGGAGGGATTGTGAAAGGCTTCATGGAAGTGGGTGCGTGACAAAGATTTGAAGGACAAGAAGAATCTGGAGGGGGAGGGAGACTGTAGAAGCAGGAAGGGTGGGGGGAGAAATGACCTGGGGCCAGAAATAAGACAGAGCAGGCCCAGGGCCCAGCGGCCAGTGCAGAGGGAAAGGGGAGGGGCCACTACAGGCCAGACAGACCAGGAAGGCTTTGAAGGTCAACTTAAGGAATTTAAACTTCTATTCTGCAGGCAACAAAACCCAGTAAATATCTGTGGTTGTATCTCTTACTCCTTCACTCGGTGTATTTATTGACCATTTACTGTGTTTAGACTCTCTGGAAAACTCTGGGTATTCTGTGGTGAAAAAAATAAACCAGCATAATAAAACAAAGCAAAAACCAACTAGGGCAAGGGTTCTTAAGTCCAGAAGTGGAGACAGATACAGGAATAAAACATCCAAATGAAGACATAGCTGCAGTGGTAATTGGGCTATGAAAACACACGCTGGGTCAGCACCTGAGGGCGATGAGGGTCTGCTGGGGGCCGGGGGCAGGAGGGGACCTGTGAGCTGAGTGGACAGGGACGGGCAGCATCTACGAAGGAGGAAGGTGGCATGTGGGAAAGGCCCTGGAGGAGAGACAGGGACTAAGAGATGGCTAATGTGGAGAGACGGGCAGGGGCCAGATGGAAGGGAAGCTTATTCTGGGCCAGTGAACTGGACATCGAGTGGATCCAGGCCACTTGTCACCACTTGAGCCAATTAAGCAGGGACAAGGTTGAATCATATATGGGTGTTTATTCCAATATTGCCA